CTGAAGCTATTGATGGTCACTGGTAGTACTAAGTATGCTAACGCAAGTACTATAATCTACAACTCCTCTAGTATTCGTTCCGCGTAGACCAAAATCAAACCGAAACACCAGAATTGGTCGTCTTAATTACGAGTTGTATTTCGGGACCAAATCAGATTGCGAGATGATTGCTTAACTAGCTGGGGATCGTGCACGAACGAACGAACGAACTTAACATGGCAGCGTACCAAATGGCGTGAATGCTTGACCAGAAGCCTTCACCTAAACCGGTAATTAAATTAGGTCTCTTCACACTTAGCTACCCTCAACCTAGGGGACTTAATTGCTGCCTATAATATAACGAATGACCAGGATCACTCAAACAAAGGAGTTAATGGTTATAGGTATGGAATTATTATAGTATTTGTGTAGGGATTACAACAAGATAAATTTTATGAAACGAATTATGCAGAAATGCAAAGCAGGCGTTGAACTAACCGCTTTGCACATTCTAGAATCCTATTGTTTCTCTTGGACAGCAGTGTAACTGTGTAACTCTGTGTGATTTATCAAAATATAATCTTATCCATAATGGAGTTACACTCTACCACAGTGCCCAAGTTTTATACTTTTATCAATAATACACCTATCCTGGGTGAAGTTATACGTTATCGCGACTTAAATCTTCCGCGCTTATGAATTTTCTGGGCTTTGATTTGCTAGAACATTGGCGGCTAATTTGATGATTAATTTGTCCTAGGTGTGTGGTATCGTGTGTAGGTTTGTGTGGTTGGGGCATGCGTTGTTTGCAAGCATGTTTGATGAATATAAATGTAGAATTTGAGTATTCTAACGTTTTCTTTTACTTATTTTGTGCATTTACAAGGCTTGGTTTACCATATACTCGGTTTGTTGTCCTATCGGTTGCTGGCGATGTCAAGGAACCCATGAGTTCTTGGGCTTTTCTCGATTTTAGGTTATACGTGTAGCATTTTATTCATGGATATTGCTCAGTGATGTATTTCAATATTGCTTTTTCTACGGGACTATATTTAAACAGTTGCGAGACAGATGGATACTAATTGACAAAGCCTTTTTATTTTATTGCAGGTAGGCAATGCAAGTGAATGCACTGCAGACGTCAGTGGAATTTTCGGTGAAGTAATCCTGGGAAGGCATTTCTTTAGCTGGGAGGAATTTGAGAATTCATTAGAAGAATTTCAAAAAGTGAGGAAGTCATTCAATGCTAACAATGTAGTTGTCCTGCACTCACTATGTTCACATTCAAAGCAAAACAACGGGGGACGACAGATTCAAGTACGCTTACGGTACTTTTAAATGCACTTTTGGCGTGAACCGTGGAAAAGCTGGCCTGAAATTGTGGAACAAGTCGTAAGAGGAAGTGTGTTATGATATTATGTATGTTTAATGTCTAAGTGTTGCAACTGTCCGCCTGCATTTCGCGTAATTTTGCACTGTAGTGAATACGCGATAACATCCCACAAAGTGGTCCATAACCATCAATACACCAGAGTGTATATGCAGAATGATTCATGGTGTAGACGACTAACAGCGTTTATTTACACGTAAGAATTACTATGTTGCCACCTGAAGTATTCTATATTTCATGTCTCCTTTGGTAATGCATATTAACTTACTCTTCACTGACTGAAAATCGTAGATACTGAAATTCATATATTTCATAAGCGTTTGTCTTAACTGAAAACAGGACATAAGCACTACCATTATTCATCCTGTAATATTGTGTGTATCATTCTATTTACGTTGACTGTTCCACCTTTTGTAGTTAATCATGTGCTGCATAAGTGTCAACTATGGACATGGTCTCGTGACTCGTGCGCATCTTAGAGCACGTCAGCAATTGTGCCGAAAATCAATGTAAGATATACGTAACCAATAGGAGGCTTATGAATGCGGGCCTGGCGAGAATTTGGGAAGAATTTGGAGAGGTGCTTATCGTAGATTACGCGGGAGAAGTAATCGCACAAATGCACCATTTTCTTAATGTGTAAATTAACTACTTTCGTATTACAATAAAAATAAACTTTTCCTATTAACATTGTTGTCTTTCTGTTCATGTGTTCGCGTTGGGAGTACGGCATGCTAGACCGGTGCTCCCTAGGATATGAATTCGTTACTATACGTAAGTGCAATTCTGTAGGAACACTATCCATCGATATAAGCGGCGAATTATAAGTGCTTCAGTCAAGTCTAAACATCTGCCTGAAGTTACGCAATTACGCCACCTAGTCATAGGTAAATCTGTAGGGACCGATGACAAAAATACCCAACTTCAGTATTTGAAAAATAAGAATAGAACTTAGGCACTGTAGTGGAGTTTGATTTCGTATGAGGTTAAGTGTAATCAAAAGTAGTGTATTACTATTATTTCACTTAAAGTGTGATGTCAATCCATATGACTACGGGTGTTAACATATAGGGTAAAATGAAGTGTACACGAGATGAATAATTTAATAGGTCGAGCTGTAGCAATCGTAGTAAGATTTCGCTTACTTTGAATGATGCCTACAATTACCTTCTCAGGTCTCATTGATAGGTCAGGCTTCCATCTCATCATAATGACAAATTTAGTTTCACTGAGATAGAATAAGAAAAGTATGGTGAGCAGGATGTTAAATATATTTAATGAAAAATAATAAGTGATTGTCTTTACACAATTGTTTTTCGTAATTACTTCGGGGATGCGTAATTGCTGTGACCAGGTTGACTGACTTTACCGAACATCTGCAAGTAAGTAAATGAAGTGAAATTTTTAAATCGTTGCAGTTAGAAATAAGTAATGTAAAAGTTAAACGCTTTTTATTTTCCTACCTTTGCTGAAATAGGTTCATTCTCCTTTCTCATTCTTCTGTCATGACAGCATTCTTCTGCGATTTTCGCTGTCACACACATTGTTCCTCTTCTAAAGTACAGCACCAAGCAAATAATAATTTAATATGTCGTATAAACGGGTGTTTACAAGGAACGCACGACATCTTGATGTGGCTGTGTTCTCTGAGCTGGATAGTTAATTTGCGAAGCTTTCATCACCCTACTAGGTGACATCTTCATCGCACACTTCAATTTGCAGTCGAGACCATCTATACTATTCCTTTTGCCCAATTACACAATGCTATCAACATAATCTGTTACAATGTAATGCACTCAGCAATTACGGTCTCCGGAAATTCCATGAGACAATGTAAATTAAACTAGTATCACATCTTCACCTGAGCGATTTTAACTAGAAACTTCATCGAAATGGATATAATCACCAGGAAATTCAGCAGGTTGTCTCATTCATCGCATGCTCTCTTCGATGTATTATGGAATATTTCAATCATCACTGATGATGATAAAAAAGTGTTTGGCATTCCCAAAACGTACATTTAACTTGTGTCTGTGGGCTAGTTTTCCTTCAAATGTCTCATTAATATAGAATAACTACTATGAAAACAACCATTGCCTATAGTTGATTTTCAACCTTAATATCCTCAAAAAACTAGCAAATAACAAAACTTTTAGGCTCTAAAACACAAATAATAGTCTTTCTATGCGAAATTTCTTATATACGATGAGTTCTTTGAGGTAATACATCCTTTGGGATATGACAGTTTTACCCATCAATACGAACACAATGCTGGAAAATATTGCTTTTTTCGGCTACAGAAGCTTGAAACCAGTCATATATAATCTATTTTCACAAAAATAAACGCTTATAACGCCTCTATAGTCGTGAACGCGATAACCCATACAGTGCGCGATAATATATCAAGATAATGTTTATCCTCACCCTCTAACTTCCTACTACTAGCGTAATCATTTGTAATTCCCGCGTAAAATTGAAGCGCAGTAGGTACTTTGTCACTTAAAATTTAGAATTGATGCTATACCTCATAGCTTATTCGCTCAAAATCAGATTTCAAAATTATTTGTCTAGTTATGAGTGCTTTTTTCATTATTTCCCCCACATAAACCGGTGCTGAGTCTAAGTTTATACTAACAAATCATGTTCCATCAGTTCAAATTAGTGCTCATAAGTTCATGCACGTAAAAGTGGCTTGCTTCATCTCCCAAAGTAAGTTATTATTATTGTTACTTGTAGAATAGTTTAGAGCAAGACCTATAAATGACGCCGTAAGATATTGGAGATGGGGAACAGAGATTAACCAACTTTCGCAGAGATACTGAATTGGTCCAACCTGGTAGTCATGCAAAATACATGGGGCGCATCTACTGCCGTCAAAGTCTAGCTCATTTTATGGACCACTGCCGAAAACGCCTTAAGAATGTCGGCACTAAGGCTCTTGATATTATGTGAATCAGCAGTGATACCACTTGACTGAACACAAAGATGACCGGGAATCAAACCTGGACTACATGCATAGCTGGCAGACATTCTCCCCCCCCCCAAAACCACCTATACCGCTGACTTCAAACCAGTGATAAGTGTGGTTAGGAAGTCGCGCTATTTGGTTTCAATAGAGTCATTACTTCTTGTAGAGCATCACTTTAAACATTACTTACGTGTTGTTGTAGAGGATGAACCACACCTGAAGAATTTTCATGAATTTAGCTTGGAGGTAAAACACCGAAATTCTACCTGAGAATTATCTACTCAGATCCCGTCTGTCAGTCAAGGCGTGGAATTGGAACATAAACGTCTTTTAGATCGAATTTTAAGTACTGATTGATCTAGCTCATAAAAGGGGGAATATGTCACTTCACGATGATCACAAAAATTCAGATCTGTTAGTAATGTTTTTAGAATATCAGGGTTCATGACGGTCGAATATATAGCTTGTAGATATCAGATGATGACAGACTTATGAATTGATCGTAGATGAGTCGACAAAATTGTGATCTTCATGAGATTTGCATGATGCAGAAACACTTAAGAGCACTCGGAGGTGATCACATTTTTTGAACCATTTCGGCGTGTCAGTATGTGAATTGAATAGTATTTGCTAGTGTCACACTAAATAGAATACTTTTCTCGTATGCTTCTGCACAAAAATATGTTTACTCGCATTACAAAAGCTGAAGGCGATGCATATACTGCGTTAAAGTAAAGTAACGTCTGCCATGGTTTTTATTTCTGGCTTTAACTCTACTTCACTACAAATGTGCTGTTAGAGTTTGAATTTTCTTTTATTCCCTTCTCAACATTACATAACTTATTTATAGTACGTGAAAAGCATATGCATGTTAGTTGATGGTGCTTAACAATTACAACCTTGTTGTTTCAGATCAGGTTTTCATTAGTATTCTGTGTGACTATGGGGTTCTGACCCACAATAACACAGTTTTCACCTGAAAAGCGTTGCATGTGTTTATGGACCAATGACTTCACGCACCTAGAAGCTTGCATCAGTCATATCAAATGGGTAAAGAATGCTTCTTTTGCAATGAAGTAAAAGGATACTCAAAGACTTGTCGACATACCTCACTCATGGCATTGACCATATAAATTGCGTAAGAAGGTTCGCTTATGCCAGTAATCTATGTGATATGTTTGTCCACATAAGTCATTAGATAGCAATGTTAGCAACAGCATCACTGAAGTAACCATAAAATGTGTGGCTGTACCCACCTCATTACCAACGTATTTGTAGTGACCAGACTTGATTACTCTATTGACTAGTTCAAATTATATTAAGAGAAACGTTTTGTCTAAGTTCATTGGTTGAAAAATTAAGTAGAATAGTAAAATAATTGCAGGTCTGTGGTCAGTGTGCAACTAGATGTATTGAGTGGTTAGAACAATAGATTACTTACGGGGGTGATCACATATTGTCATCGAAAGACCCATCATAATTGCACAACGGTTCAAGTTGCTATAGATCAGTTAGAAGGTAAGATGTGGGAAAGTGCAAAAATGTGGTATTACTAAATGTAAGCTGTAGGTATGAATACCTAGGGGCCTCTAACCATCAATCCAGGTAAACATCATACAAAATAGGAAACTGTAAGATCTAGCACAATCAAGCACTTTCTTGTTTAAAGGCTGGATCAGGATAGCCAAATTTTGTGTTATTCCCTTCAGTTAAACACGGCTTTTAGACCCGTTGATTGGGTGAAGTAAAATGTTGCCCGTTCTAGCAAGTAAAGGTAGGCACTCGGAAGTGTACTTGTTTTCAGGATACAAAAAATAGTAAAGATCTTTTTGGAACAGTCACGACGAAATCTGGAGAATGCTTACTCGCCTACCATTTTGTTTTCTGGTTGGTTATGAACTGTAATTACTCGAATTTTTGGACTTGGAACAATGTTCTCATATTGTTTCAATGAAATCGTTTCACGTGATTTCTCTTCGTATCTAATCTTATTCTTTGTTCCCATTCATTCACTTCTAAATTATTGACCGACACTCAACCTTTGGGTGTTTTGTATAAATTTGCCCTGGTTGTCTAACGTCATTTAATAGCTATCCTCATCCCAGTCTGTGATCTTTTTCTTTGCTGACTACTCTCTAGAAGAGGTCTTAGAGTTGAGTGAGTTCCATATTGTATCACATGTGTTAGGCAGGCAGCGTACCAGTAAGTATTAGGGTTAATTTAGGTATACTTAAAAAACAGTCACTTAGCCTTTTGGAAGTTTTACAGTCATTACAGACATGTCAAAACTCCTCGTGTTTTCACCCAATGTTTAAACTAGGAGTATCCTTAAACAAGAAGAATAATTCCTCCAGATACATTCGGTGACTAAACGGTCTTATGAAAAGAAATTGGCTTTTTCGATGTTGTGCCTTAAAAGACTCCTATTCAGTATTTCCTTAGCGTTACTACAATTCGTTTCATTTTGTTTTAGATTCTGTTCTGTTGACTGAGGATAGAAGGCTTCAAGGCTATTTTAATCATATTCTAGTAAATTTCTGTGATTTTCCAAACCCTTCTTTAATGAGTCAGCTGAGGTCACTGACTCCACTTCTTCTGCGATTCGGTTCCAAGAGTTGATGGCTCTGTGGAAAACCAGTACCACATAGCAATATAGTTTCTCCTTGGCTTTCGAACTCATCCTATGTCCTCTTAGATGTTCTGGCCTGTTGGGAAGGAAAAGAGAATCGATCTGACTCGTTTTCATTGTATAAAATTTTAAACATTTAAATCTGCTCCCTGTCTACGGTATGGCAGAGAGAAAAGATTTAAACTGCCTAGTATTTCATTGTATGACAAATTATTAATGCCAGGAGTCCTAGAATTCGTGAGTCCTCTTTAATACAAGGACTGGTTGACTGGATAGAGTTGTCCAGTCTTGGCCTCACCAGAGAGAGATGTATACAGGGAGGTGAGCATATCGCTGGTGACTCCAGTGTAGGCTCTAAGAATCATTCATGAGGATCTGGAACTATGTTCAGTCATCAGGCGACAAAGTGCTGTAGGTTCTAAGTTGTGACTTTCTATGGCACCTTAATTCAGATGCGTCTGAATTGATGGGAGTGTCATTCCCTCTAGGTCGAAGGAGCTGACGATAGTGTGTGGTTGCACATTTTATTATGTTCATCGGGGTTCCATTCGTTTTAGCTCATCATGTCGCAATTTCACCCGGTTATTTCTATATCTAGGCTGTAGAGAGGTAGAGAATGAGGCGTGATCCGTCTTTAGGGGCTCATAAGACAAATATTAAAACTCTTCACTTAGAACCATCAATGGATTTGGCAACAGGAAAGAATAGACACAAACCCCAGGTGACCTTGAAACAACCAATCACATTCTTCTGGATGAAAAGTGGCATTTAGTTCACAAAAACTGTATCAGTAATACACACATTTATTAAAAAGGAGTTATATAGCTTATATGTCTCAGGCATATTGCGAAAACATGTCCTATTTTCTCATAGAATTGGCTACAGTCATATCAAACCACTGCCAATACAAGAACTCATTTAGTGACTATATACTACATCATTTCGAAGACCATTTATCATTCTGACACGTTTTTTCATGTGAGCCCAGAATCGCTCAACAGAATTCGTACGGGTTCCAGTTATAGGACCCACCAATTCAGAAGAATGGTCGACTCTGTGATGAATACAGCCTAGTGATGATAATTGCTAATAACCTCTTCACTCATCTGTGTGAATGGTAGTACATAGGAGGTAAAGTCGTTGTACAATTGATATTAAGACATCAGCACTTCTGTTCGGGATGCGTTCTACAAGCCATGTAGGAGGATTTGTGTCGTTCTCCCCAGTACCCAAACATGAATTGCTCAACTCCTACCACGATTCACTTCGTTTAACAGGTACCGTTTCGTCAGTATGAAATATATCACCAACTACTCCAATTACATAAAATATACCATTGAGCTTTTGTGACGAAGTATTACGACAGTACTGATACCACTGCGCTGTTGACATTTCAGTATTTTCTGTTTCTGCAGCTTCATCTGATACCTGTCGTCTCAGCAGTCAATTATGGCATATACTCAAAATTTTACGAAAGTTTCAATTTCGTGAAGAAAGCACCTAAAATATCACCGTGTTGTACTACTAACGAACTCTTACATACTTCCTGCTATTACTGCGATTGTATCTCAATGCGTAACCATCAATAGCTAGGCAATACTTCCATAGTCATTATACCTCCACGTATTCAGGTTTTAGTCCCCACTGTCAAATCATTTTCCGCACAGAACTCAGAAATCAAAAATGGGTGAAACTTGTTACGAAGATTATGAGAGACCTGATTGGTTGGTTCAAAGTCATTTGACTTAGGTGTCTATTGTTTATTCTTGTCAAGTGACTAGACAAATTCTCGGCTTCTCACTTTCTTGTATATCACTTTGGTTGAAATTTCGCTTAGAAAATTTTTTTAAGCAATTTTTAAGAAAATTGTGTTATATTTGATCTGGATTGATATCAATTCTCACTTCCCGACTAGTTATGTATGCGTCATGTGATCTGAAAGTTGACATGATGGTTTAGGCGCCCGTTACATCTGGATACGGTGCATGTTTGTAAAGCTACCGAAGTATTACTTGGCACATTTTCATTTTGTAAAGTAACTTCTGGTCAGTTCACTTATCATCAGTAAGAAATAACGGATTTTTCAATTCTAGTGAAAGAACAATATATTTTTAGGAGGTAATGCAATAAATTTGTTTGCTTCCGTAATATACTTTTATTTGTGATAATTTTTAAATATAAATCGACATTCTTTTGTCTGTGTTCTCGGCAGAAAAGTTTTTGTGTAAAATAAAAGCAGTTCCAGTCAATATCCTAATTTATTGTCTACGTTTCTCGCACTAACTATAATGCTAATCTAATTCTGAATTTAAGGAAAACATTCAGTCGCTTAGAAGGGAAAAGAAAATCTGACCAAAGAATATTCTTTTCGATGATTTCCCTTTTCGACCCTACAATTATATACACAGGATACTTCAGAAAAACTGTCATTAACAATATTAATGTTTTTTATATCGATGAGGTCTGATGCTAGAAGTAATGCGGATATTGTTTAAAGATTCTGCTGGCATTAAATAATCCCATAAGTGTCTAATTAATGCCAGTCAGTGATAGTCGGGGCGGAGAAGACTGTAGTGACGCTGAGAAATTCCAGTAAGCGTTTAAATACTGTGAGTACGGCTCAAAGAAAGCAAAACTGCATTTCCCACCCGAATTTCAAGTCATATCAGAATCCGCTGACTATAGAGAAAAACGTTAGTTAGGAATTTGGTAGAATCGTTTCAGCATTAGTTTAACTTTGGTCTGTAACAGCTGGACATATCTTGTTTTACTGGGAGGCAGAGGGTTTCACTCAATCAGTAACGTTTGTAGGAAAGAAGTAAGGTCAGTTGTATGTAGTCTTTATAGTTACTGGTTGTTTCTCTTTGTGTAATCTATGCTTACGTGTTTGGTACTTTAGTACACTACCGTTGTACACTGCATTAGATTGTTAATATTGATCTATGGATATAGGCAATTTTGTGCATTGACTGAAAAGAACGGAATTCCAGAGTACTTAAGTTTGGATTTCAATCTTTTAGTGTGAGTGATGTTAACTAGTGAACTGTCAGTAGCAATCTAAACTCTTTGTATTGCTTACTTTAGTTTGTTTATTGAGAAAGCTGTTTTTGTCTCACTGTTCTAAGTCACTTTATCGTGGGATGAAAATTAGAGTAAGTGCAACAAATGTGTTAGCACCGTTTGCTTGTTCAACATTTCCATGAAAAAGTCAGGTGAAATGTCAGTTTCCCCTAGAAATCTAGTTAACATTGTATGCAGTGGTTGCAAAATTAGTAACCACCAAAAGATGAAAAGTATTCGACGGTATCATTGTTAAATGGAAATGCGCTGAAAGTGTTTGCATTTCATAGAATGATAAGTTGGCTCAAGAATCTACTCAGAACAGACTGGTAGGATTATATGTAGAACACTGGCGACCTGCCATTTATATCCAGCTATACGGTAGAAACCCGGATGTTATTAACACATCAAGTTACTGTTGTAAAAGTCGTGGTTAAAAATAAAGTTATCAGGATAGGATATTTAAGCTAAAGCTATAGTAAAGCTGGTTTTCCGGATTTATCAGTGACAAAATTATTCGGTGAATCATAAATTAGGTGAGGTGCCATTCGAGTTGTTTCATCGACCGAATGTGCCTGTCCTTAGGGAGGAAAAGCATTGTAGTTTGGTAACTATGGTTGAATAAGCCCCTTTTGTTTTGAAAAAGGATCATTTAATTCATTGATAACTTCCGAACTTCTTGTGACTGGCTTTGTATATATAGCTTCTTAATTACGGGGTAATTCCTTGATGAGTAATCCAGTATATGCGTCTATATATTTAAATTGTCATGACTCAGACATCAACCTAATTTATCAACAGAGTTGTGTAGATTGAAAAATAAATGACGTAATTTTCAGTTAATCGATGATGACGTACATGCGATGAAGCGTAGAACAGTGACATGTCAATATTATATAACTGTCTTTCCAACAGCCTTTTTTTAAGAGTATATATTGTAGTTACATATGGGAAGAATTATGTATGTCGCTCTGAAAATGTTCAGTCAGCACACTCATAATAGAGCGTAAATAAGGTTGTAGGGTCGGTTTCTAAAAGATTTACTACTTAAGGGAGAAAACAATATAGTGAAGCATAAGGTATCAAATACTATCAGAAAGTTTATCGTTATCTCCCGGACTGTAAAACGTAGAATTGTGTATTTTCTCTTCACTACTGTACTTCATTAGTTGTTCAATAAATGAGATTCGATATAGTCGCAAAAATAAATAATCTCCACCGGATATGAATATGTAATTTTCAGGTAAATTTCAGTCGGTTGCATTAATTTGTCTTGGTCATCGTGGGACTTTATGGCAGTGCACAGTCCTCCATATTTGTGGTGGTGTGTAACTAGCTATCTCGCGAACTCATTAGATTAAGGGGCACGTGTCAGCTATTTTATCTGCCCGGTATTTTGTGATTGTCATGGTTCTCGCTTGTAATTGTGTGACTTCTTTCAACTAGGTTTACCGGAAATCACTTCGTCCTATTTACATACTTCAGAAAAAAGCAAAAAGTCGAGCGGAGAAATGTATTACTTTTCAATTAGCCCTTCACTAATAGTTCTACACTAGTGTATACATTTAAATCAAAATTTTGCACCAGTTATCGACAAGGTGAGCTATTATGGAGTTAAATATCGCTTTAATCGGTCTTTTGTTTAAAAAGAATTGATGGTGTTATGAAATCCAACGAAGTATATGCCTAATAATACGTCTTCAGGTCAAGAAATACAGTAATTGCTGGATAAGGGTAAATATATATATGTGTTCTATAACCTGTAGAACGGTGAAGATATAACTTTCGTTTGCACCTGACTTCCACTGACCCTTCTATATTTAAAATTTAGCTGGGGAATGCATTTATGCTCATTACTGGCTTGATGTGTATGGTCACCAGAAGACTTAGTGTCTCTTTTTTTTTGTATATGACTATTGTCAGCTTCTCGACATCGTTAACCATAGGTATCCAGAATATACTCTACGGGCCGACATGGTTCTCTTATTTGAGCTGTAACTGCTAGAATGACTACCTGGGCGCTTCTCTCCTAGTATTAAATTGGATTTGCATAAGACTTGACCTTTTCTTCCTTTGGACTACAGCTAATGGTCACGAGAAAACACTGATGGATGTTGCAACATTTCCTTACTCCCATGGATACTTTCAGGTAGTCTTTTGAGATCCAATAAAACATTAAGTTTTCTGCTCAGTGCTATCCCCATACCACCAACTCCACTAAAACTAGCAAAACAATCTGACAGTTGGAGTGTGAATATTATATATTCAGTATATTGATCAGATGCACGGTTAGGTGAGTAATTACACTTAGTTCTTGGGTGCATATTCCAAATGCAACATATATCCGAAGTTTGAGATGCTAGAGTTTTAGTTAGCAAGACCTTTTCTTCAGTTTCTTCATGAAACGCGGACGTAGTAAGCTTCATATTGAAGTTGGACTGAATATTGGTCAACTATACACATTGTAAGTTTTCACCATTTTTTATTACAACTAAATTAGAAGTCGGATCCTATTCATAAACATGCCGACTTCTTTCAATAATCGCACTTCTTATGATGGATTGAACTTCGGGTAACATTCCTCATCCTTGAAATAAGTGTTTTCAGTAACTTCTCATAAAAGTGTCGTATTTATTCAACCTTTATATTTAATTGTGGTTTCAAATAAATTGTCTATTTTAGTGTGATTATTTTTATCATTTTATTAGTTTTCACACAAATAGGTTTGCTTTCTAGAGAACAAATGTGTTTTATAACTCTGACGAGCTCATTCAGACACTCCGTTTTCAAATAACGAGTGACAAGTCTGAACTTTTCTGTCACTTAGGGTTATTTTCACATTTCTGACATAATTGGCTATCTGTTTCCATGCGTCATGATAAATCAGTGCGTCTAGCAATTATCATTACAAACTGCCTACACTTATTCCAATCGGAAACAAATATTTACACTTTCTAACTTGGTTGCATGATGCATTTAAAATCCAGTAATTCAATTTTGTGTCACACTTTTCGAAACCACTTACCAGCATTGTTAACGTACAATTTTACATCTGGTTAAAATGAAGTGTATCATTTTTCCTATCTACAGATCTACTTACAACAAATTGTGACCATGGTTATGAGAGTGAAGACAGCTGATATTTAAACATTTTCTATCTACCGGTTTTATTTATCAATGAAGTGGAACAATTCAAATTCTAAGTATCTAAAAATCCGAGTTACTCTACATGAGTCGGAATTGGAATTTAATATATCAGTATGTTTAATTTATTGTATCGAATTATATCTTCACAGCCGAAAAGTACAGGAAAATATCTCTTCGACCTTGTTTGTAGCACAATCGGACTACGGGAGACGTGGTATTTTGGACTACAATTTTACAGTTTCTTCCCTAATGGAAGAATGCGACTTTCTCATTGGTTAAAGCTGGACAAAAAAGTAATTCACGAGTATCCCCCCTAATTATCAATTTTTAGATTATTTCCCAGAAGCCAGAAGACGTCTCTAAACCTCTCTGCTTTTTTTTCCATACAAAATTCTTCCCTGAAGATGTTGAACAGGAATTGATACAGGCTACAACTCGGCGTCTATTCTATTTAAGCGTTAAAGCCACGATTTTGAATAGAAGCGAATCTAATATGAATGGAAATTGTTTTGGTAAGTTTTAGTGTATTGTAAATATGAAACTGAACAAAAACTGCACTTTTAGTGTTTCGTGGGTCCTTTTGAAAGCGTTCACCGTGTAACGATCTATTCCATAATTATTGTTTGCTTGATTCTGTGAATAAACACAAATTTAAACTAATCATAAATACTTCGATTCTGGCCAGAAATTTTTGAGACTTACTGACCTCACAGACCTTCACCTATTAGGATTTTGCAAAAGTTACGCCTTCGTGGTCGTTTGACGTGAGACATAGAGGGTAACTTTTAATTGGTGACATCCTAGTAAGAAGTTAAATAGAAGGCCGATAAACACTTGTGGCTATTTTTCGACTTGCTTCTTAAATTCTGTAGGCGTTTGACAAGTAAAATGGGGAATATTTTCGTAACAAATGACTATTTCAACTGACCACCACCTAATAGTTGAACTTGATGTTTGGGTTCGCAAACGGCAGTAATCCAAAAAGCTGATTTCATCGACTAGGCCGTTAACATTTATTAGTGCGTCAATTAATATCAAACTAGGAAGCGTTATTTCGCACATATCTGCGGGAACAGTACGGATTGAAAGCAACGACTACATACAGTTTTGTTACGATTAGAACCTCCTTCTAGTCGGTAGTGACTTCAGTCACAAGGAAGAATAATGTCTTACTTGGCGGCTCCCAAGATGAAGCGAGAGACGGATACGGATGATTCCTTATTGCAATAAGCCGTTTTTGGAAGAGCTGAGATTCTGAAACCATGGTGTCGTATCTCTGCAAAACCTGTAAGAATGAAATTATTCACTGATCAATGGGAAATGAAACGATTTTCATCGTGTAGTGACTGAGGCAATTGTATGATTTGCTTTAGAAACCCACAAAAGAAATTGTGGGAGGGGTATGCTTTGTACCAAACTATGCACTAAAACAAAAACCACCTAAATTACTACCTGCAATGAGTTTAAGTAAAAACTGTCAGAATAGCTTAATTAATGTAACATTTAGAAGGTTAGGAATCGGACACAGCCCTTATCTGATTGACTCATCTTCCTTACTTATTACTCTGATAGCTAAGAAAAGTTGGTCACCTTGTCTAACATCAGTGATGAGTTGTATAAACTAGTGGCACTCTGATATACATCCACATCTGATAGAAAACTGGAACTCAGATATCATCAGCCTGGGAAAACTACATCTTTCACATTTAGTCATAGATGTGTCAAATAGATATTTATCACAAATTGCAGAAACGCAAGCATGCCTATTGTTGCTTGACAATGACTATTATAGCTGAAGTAAATAATAAAACCCATCTATTCTGAATGTCTGCGAATTTGTCACATCGATGGACCTACGACGATTGATCAGCTGAAGTCTCACTCAGGCTTATGACGAACGATCTGAAGTTTTCTTCAAAGATATCTATTTTCATTACTGCCACTAAGATGTAGATCTGTGGTTTTTTCCTATATGAGAATATCCTCCGTATGCGTATCCCACAGTACACTCAGCACACTTTATCTAAAAATAAACCAAACACTGGTTCTTAGTAGTATCAACTGTGAACAGAAATCTGCAAGAGTTCACGGCTCTTAGTCACTTATTTAGACGGAATTATGAATAATCACTGTCGAAAGGTCTTACCTCAGTAGATTCGGTTAACAGTCATCTATATTTTTGCCTTTTCAATTTGTGTGTTTCCTATTCCCAATATCTTTGGTTCATTAGAGTGTGAACCGATAAAATGACGCCTGTCTAACACTGTTTTACTGCATTTGCTTGATTACGCTTCATTTTTAAGTATGCACACAATTGCAAGTGCATTCGTAAACAAAACCGTTCAAGATTTGCATACATTTAATTAAACTGTACGTTAAATAATTGTATGACATGTAGATGAGCTTTATCATTGTATCAATTTTTATTTAGGCGATCTTTGTCCCTCACTGGACGTGGCTATTCTGCTTGCTTCGCTGGCATCTCAGGTAAGTTTAACATTTGCGAGTAGTGAAGTAGGGTAGTGTTTTAGGTGTATAAAGTGAAATAAGGTTAACTCTTAGGTTTTCAAAACTAAAAAGAAAATGTACCTTAATAATGTTTACATTCGTACTCTTATGGGGTTTTCCAGATTTTTATAGTCGTTGCATGCATTTTCTCCTTCAATTTTTCCCATCTGTGCTTGAAAATTTAAGGATTTTAAAAATGGACTTCACATGGACATAAATGTTCTCTTCAAACTATAATGGTGCTTAAGAAATTTCGTCGTATTTTATGTATACAGTTCTAGTCATCTAGAATTTAGTTTTCAAAAGCATTGCATAAATGACATAAAAGAAAGTTTAGCTTAATTTAACACAAAATTACTCTTCTGCAGAACATAGGTTGTTTGTGAACTATGAACCTTAGTATACAACAATGGGTTGGCAGTATAAATAAACTATAAGAGAGTGTTGATTCTCAGTGCGTTTTACTACCCATATTTTCATAAGGGCTTTAATAACCGTCTAAAATCTTCCAGGTACCTTCGGGTTGTATCATTCTACAAAAGTGTTCAGACTAAGGGCAAATGTTTTTCTTTACAGGCAGAATATGGTGATGTGTGTGAAGATGAGCTTAGTGACACAGAAGAATTGACCTCCTTACCACGTCGCATTATTAGATTGATTCCGGCTCAACTCTGGACACAGGTTCAGTCAACGCAAGGTATAACTCAAAAGTTTAAAGAATACTACAAATCCCACAAAGGAATGAATCGGTTTGTTGATTGCACTTTTTTATGAATATAAAAAATAATTTCTAGGGACAAGGCGGAACTTCAGTATCTTAAAGTGGCGCAGATACACCATCTTTTTGGAGTGGATTTCTTTCCTATTGTTGTAAGTCTCTTTGTCCATGAAGTATTTTCATAATTATTTAAGATTTGGACTGATTTCCAGTGCAGGTCCCGTAACCAAAAGCATTATATCAATGTAATATCGCGAACTTTACCCTCAGTGTATAGTTAACAGTTAGTTTGTTTTAGCATTCCAGTCCGATTAAACAACTCGCTTTGTATGAAAACCAGCACTTTTCTGAACGATCCCCAGAATAATTAATGTCATTTTCCTTTCCCTTCCAACTGTTAGCTTCCATATATCTCGAGGCCCTTTCCAGTGGTAAACACTGATTTTTCACATCCGGCCACAATATTGTTATAAATGCATTCCACCGAAGTTCCTCACCTTGCAGGCAACAAGCAGTTAACTCCGTCGTATAGTGGATATTTATGCGGTAAGCCTGGATGATCAACGCAAATGCTGAAGAAATTCGCTAAATGAAACTCTCGACTTAGGCAGACATGTATCCATCGACACCGTTGTGGATGAATTTACGCTCAACTCGAGGACATAAAAACTGTAACATTTGCACAATAAATCACATCACTCTTACAGGCAGAATATGGTAAGGTCTGCCTTCTCTAGTTAACATTTGTAGGAATTATTCACATCCCTTCTTGAGTCTTCTCCAAAAACACAGCAGTAATCGAAGTTAGAAGCTGTGCAACTGAACTACCCTCTCTCTCACAGCGAACAGTCACACTACTCCCATTTGTGATATTCATTTGTGTGATCTGACACTGTGCCCTTGTGACTTGAGGTCCACCAACTTTGTGCAAAATAACCTCATTGATATTGAACTATCAACTGACCGTAGTTGGTTCACAATTCTGCTATCTGGTGGGGTATCGCTACAGTTTTTCAACACCTTAGTATTGATTTTTTTTCCACATGCAACTTAACATTTACCTGTTTATGTATATAGGACTAGACACTTCCGATATATCACGTAAAGTTTTATCCTAATAAGTTAAAAGTAGTCATTGGGTAATTGAATATTTCAGTCTTGCAGTATCATAAATTGCATTTCACTTTCATTGTCAAATGTCAAGATAAAGTGAATGATGTACTGTCATATTTATTTCAGTGTGTACGAATGAAATGCCCACGAATGTCAAATTTAACACGTAATTTTACTCAAAACGAGTTTACTATCTTGCACAACACGGTAAGCCTGCTTTGCCCTTTTGCATGACTATGTTGTTGTATTCGTCTTTGAATTAAGAATTAAATATCGACCACTTAGAAAATTTGTCGTATTTAATTGGTATTCTTCTATGCGGGTCAGGAACTTGCACTACGTGTCACGGAAAGGATTTCCAACAGGTTGCCGGCTTTCATCAACAGCTGTCTTCGCTCCATACTGAAGATCAAATGACCAAAAAGAATTAGTAACAAGAAACTCTGGGAACAAACCAACCAAGAGCCGATCGCTCCACAAATATGTAGGAGGAAATGGAGATGGATCGAGCATACTTTGAGGAGGCCGTCGAATGACATCGCGCGCAATGCAGGCCATCGCTCGAGTGGAATTCGAATGGGAAACGACGGGTGGGTCGTCCTAGGATGACAAGGGGGAGATCGTGCGAGGAGAAGTTGAGAGATTATTGGCAGTTGTGGGCGCAGCTGAAGAGGGCGGCAGAAAATAGAACAAAGTGTAAATGTGTTGTTGAAGCCCTATGTTCCACTCGGAACCCAAGGGTATAATAATAATTGGCATGGTGTGAAATTCAGTCAAATAGTATTTACGTTGTAAATATGCTTATATTTATTTATTACTTATTCTTTTATACCCAGAATATGTCGATTTCAGGTTCGATAACATATATCGAAGCACTAATACACCTCGCTTAGGATTTTTGATGTTGTTTTTATTGATATACTTGTGATATTTTAGGTGGTAAAGACAATATTGAATACACTGAAGTAGTGAAAACATAGTGGTTTTATCCTTATCAAGCATTCAATGTGTCTAAGGTGACTTATTTTTTCGAACAATTTAATATCAAGGACAACTATTTATTGTATTCAATAATTTCAAGATAAGTTGTTAAGACTTATTCAGTCATTTCACAAAACTATTCCTTACCAACACTAGAATACGTCTATTTGTTAACATATCATTATTCGGAATATTTCCCAGATTTTCTACTCTATAGCAATGGTTTACATTCGTTCTTAATGAGTCACCTGATATTTCATGGCTGCATTCTTTTTTATAACAACGAGAATATTCCAAAAAGATTATTCCTGTAGCTCTTAACTGTAATCTAGTGGGGAACTCGCTCAAAATTTGTATTATATCTTTGTATTCTCATTACTGTTTAGGTGAATTAGCACTTAATCTAATGTGATTTTATGACTGTATCAGATTACTTTAGTGGTTGGATATATTAATTTATGACGTTTTTACTATCTGAATGTGACTTTGATGAAATTGAAAGGGATTTTCTGAAGAACTGACTTCAGTTAAGGGATCATTAGAAGCTAAACATCATCGTAAATCTTGACATCTTTACTTTTTCATAGTTTAGATTCTTCAACATCATGCACTCACGAACTCTCAGGGAATAGAGTCATGTGGCAGCCCTTCAGACACCTTTTGATCGAAATTCAGTGGTTCATATCTCAAAAGCTTAATAAGGCAAGATAGTACCTTCTCAGTAAGGACGGCTGTTTATGCAACTTAACAATAAGCTGATCAGAATTAGTAACTGATATCACACTTAGATGAGTGCATGGGTGTTATATTTTTTTATCTCTTTTCTTCAATCTTACCTCCCAGAATAAGTGCCAGACGAATGCTTGGCTCGGTGTCACTGCTTCAGGGCTGCAGTTGTACGGAAAATGTCAGCGTGATCCGCCACAATTCACATTCCCTTGGAATTTGATTAAAAACGTATCTTATCGTGAACGTAAGGTAAGTTAGTTTCATAAGAAATCTATAACGTACGTTTTCTCTTAAGTGTTGAATATTTTACAATTTCTTTGCTTTGTATGCTTAGGCACTAAAGTGTTAAGTACTCCAGGATAGTTGCATAAATTAGAAAAATGGAAATTAGACTATAACTAATCGTAATGTTTTAATGTTTACATAGCAATCATTTTAAGCCGCTTTATATATATACCAAGGAACTGAGAGGTTGGTCACACTCTCTTTTTTATGTGTAAATTTGGTTGAACGCGTCATCTTATTCTGCAAATTCGGTCTTTCTCGCTTTATCGGAATTTAAAAAGGGAATCACGTGTATAATCTCCCCGTTTTATTTACTTTTTTTATTTTTTATTTTTTTTAATTCCTTCACTTTCCCCAGTGGAACATAGGGCTTCAAGCTAGTGGCTTGAAGTTTCTGTAGCAGTGTTTATTTTACAGGGTGGGGTTGCTAGCCTCATGCCCAACCTTTCCTCTTCACCAGCATTATTTCTGGCTCAGCGAGGTAAAGGAGTGCATCGGCCGGGGATCGAACCCCGGACCATGTGCATGGTCGGCGAGCTTCCTAACCGCTATACCACCGACGCGTTCTGGCATATGGGTGCTCATGTTTTATTTACTACTTAAGTGAAAATTACTTAAGGAGTCTGGAGCAAAAGAGATCACTGAGGTATTCAAATCGTTGTTCACTCATGGCTAAGTCAGCGTCAGTATTGAGTTAATAAGATAACAGCTAATATCTGATGTCAAATACCTTTCTTTAACAGGAAATCATTTACATAGGTTGCTGTTGCCAAAGCTTGCTACACATTTACTAAAAGCACCAGCCTTTAGATGCAGTATGGTACTGCAGTATCGAAATTATGATTCATTTTAAAATGGTATTGCCTCATGTGAAAATGAATCATGTATATAATTAATCTCCTAATGTATCCCATAATTCTGTAATACTAAAGTACAGCTAATGTATTCTGTAAATTTTTGTAATCCATTTTACTACAATTCACTGTGAATTTCTTAATATGTCTTTCTAACGTTGGCTGTGTATTATTATTAATCATTTTAAATGGAATGCATTTTAGTTTATAAATGGAGAAAGGTATAAAGAAGGTTATTAATTTATTTTCATAAAATAAAAATTTTTGTAATTAATAAGGTAGATTCCATTCAAGCAATTTAAATGTTGCAACTTTCTGGAAGAAATGGAACAATTATGCATTCCAGTAGATATGTACATTAGATTTTGGGCTACATAATTTTTATAATAAGTGATAATATAGTGCCATCTAAATGTTGTAACCCCGGTGTATGGAGCAGGCTTTCAGCATTATGTATTGCACGTTCAGTATGTAAAGACTGAATATGTAATTAGACAGGTCACAGTTGTCCTTCACGTATCAAAACAGTTATGTATTTCCGGTTATTTTAATAACTTAACTTTTGATTTAGTTCTCAACCTATTTTCGCGGTCATTTATTCTCAAACACATAATTAAGTGAAATTCGTAAGATGAACTGGAACAAAACTTTTCTTCGTGAATCTTCAGTTTGTAATTTATAAAGTTTATCTGTTTTCCTTTCTTTTATGAGTGTCATTCAGCTAATTTTCCTTCCCATTTAGTTTACCATAAAACTGACTAGTACTTGGCGAGGAACAAACAAGCCTAACCATAGTGCACCTACAACCACAACTTCGTTGCCTGCAGGGCTGAATGAAACCAGTGGACAGACTGCTAATTCATCAAGAGTAATCCAAGCAAGTCGAAGTCCCTTAATAAGCGTCACTGGACAAGCCCTTGTAGGCCTAACTGTGGGTTCCAGTGCTGGTGGTAGTGGTACATCAGCAGCAAGTTTGCCTAGTACTCCTATATCAGCCCGTCTTGTTCCTTCAATACCACCAGTTTCTCCAAATGTTCTTGATACTTCTGTCAATGTCTTATTTCCTCGTGCTGATTCCAAGTTTGATTCCTGTGATCCTGTGCAACAGTTTGGTGTCTCAAAAAGTCTCAAAGGTCGCGCAAAAGGTTGGTTATACTGAAATCGTAAATTTTTTTCGATAGATGATAATCATAGTGCGCAGCACTCTAAAATTATTTTCTAATCACTACTGTAAGCTCTGAAATGTCGAAATTAAGTATTACATATTTCCGTAGTCATTGAATTGGGCATCACAATGTATCTAAGGGTATCTATAATTAAAATTCATTCTGCAATCGTCTTTTCCGATAAATGTATCACATCAGAACTGTCAAAGAAGCTGAAAACGAGAGACCAGTTAGTTTCCATTAATCTAATACAGCTAGTAAATAATACTGTTTCACTATCTTCTGCTAAATAAACAAACTAACATGAAACAACATACTGTCACATTAGCCCAAGTTTAACACTTACACTGATTTATTGTTACTGTATTACTTATTCCCTTGGGTTGCGAGTGGAACATGGCCTTAGCAGTGCATATCCACTTCACTGTGTTCTCTGAAGTCTTTTTAAATTGGCTCAATGAGTATATACAAACATTCATTTACTCCTCACACGATCTGCTTCATACCACACTCGGACGTCCAACTCACCTTTCCCCATTAGGGTTGCACTCGAGGACTTGTCGTGTGATTTCACTCAATAGTCTCCTCAGTGTATGTCTAATCCATCTCCATTTTCTTCTGCATATTTTCTGTGTTAGCTTCTTGGTTGGTTTAGTAACAGCCAGAGTTCATTGTTGCTTGTCCGCCTTGAAAGCACAGGAGTCTGAGGATATTTATCGGTTCTCATTTATTTCACCTAGAGCCATTCGACCCGTGATGAATTCCCTTCCTGTATTGTCTGCTCCCAGTGTGGTATTTATACCACCCATTAGAATTTCCATTTGAAAATTTGCCTGTAGAAGTCTTCGGTTGTCTACTCGTATTGGTTGTTCCTGGCAACCTAGCGTTGGACAGTTGTAACCTTCTTCCTTCCTTTTGGAATGAATCTTGCTGTGATTTTCCTGGAGAAGATTGGTCCCAACTGCTTAACAGCTTTGGTTGCTGTTGGTGACACGGTAGCCACTCAATGTGCTCTTGGTTGTAATCTGAGTTATCAGAGTAGATAGTTGACTATCCAGTTAGTAATTTGGAGAGTACACTTTCATTCCATCTACTTTCACAAATTCCTAGCACTTCTATGATATATCTTCTCATTTTTCCGGCAGTTTGAGCAGCCTTCCCAGGTTCGAAAATCGTGCGTGTACTACGTGTCCCTATGTTTATTTTGACCTTAATCGAAAGAAGACACATCATCTGACTTGCTTCCCGAAGGCTCTCACCAGCCCGCCTCCCTTCTTCTCCCCAGTTAGGATGAAGAATAAGTTGTTCTTTTATGTTTTGAAGTTTCTGTAACGATTGGGTTAATTTTCCGGTCCGTAGCTCCACATTCAATATTTCCTCATTTCCTTGGCTATTCAAGTAGTAAACTAGGCGACGTTGCTTGTGCTAATTATTTTCACTAGTTTTAAGCAATACTAAGTTAGTTGACAATAAATACATTCGCTCCCGTAATACATTTCGATTTCAATACAGACTGTAATAGTGTTTGGCAGTATTTGTGTATATAACTGAATTCTAGGATAATCCTATTGAAGACTTTTTTCAGAGTATGATGTTTGTATTTAAAGTGAAACTCAAGTATATTTGTGTGTTTAGTCTTTGAATTAGGTTCACGTTGCATTCCTGGTTTGTCCGCCAAATCTCGCTACTCTGCTAATGAGTTAACAGTAACCGGCACTAGCGTAAACTGTCTTCGTACTTCTCAAGGTCAGTCCGTAGAAAATAACATTGCTGCACCGTTTTCCTCCAAAACTGTAGTGAATTCATCCCAGCTGAATTCAACAACTGTGTTAATCAGTGTTGTAGAGGTCTGGTTGGCAGATCCCAATCAAGCTAAAACAGTTATGTCTATGTGTGCTGGTAACCATTCACTGTTTATGAGACGTCGTCAACCTGATAGTATTGAAGTTCAACAAATGAGGGCTCAGGCAAGGGAAGAAAGAGCAAGACGAGATGTAAGTTATCTCCCACTTTTCACTTTCAAAATTTGTGCAGTTAAAATATTTTTTGTAAATGCTGTTTCCCTTTGGTTGTTTTCAATTAACTCCCGCTACATATCAAATTTACATTAAAATAGGTTGAACGTGCACGTCTTGCAAAAGCGCGTGCAGAGAAAGCCGAGGCTCTAGAAGCTAAAACAGCTTTGGAAGCTCGATGTGCTCAATTGGAAGAGGCTTTAAGATACCATCAGAAAATTCAAAAACCCTACTCTTCTGAAAATCGCAATATACCAAAAAAAAGTCATCTAAATGATATGTATGATGCCGATTCACCTCATTCATATACCTCTCAACGTCCGCTTAATGAGTACAATTGCAAAGTAGCATTCAGTTCTATAAATAAAGTAAATCAAGAGGACATTAGAAATGTCGGCATACCCATGTGTCAAACAGTGGGTAATAAAGATGATGATGATGATGATGATCAGAAGTCTATTTCCAATGTTGTTGAAGATGGTGATAAAAATACGGGCGATACTGGTAATCATGTTAGAAGTGACGGTTACTTTGATGAATATTCTTTTTATCCGTCAGTGAAAATACCAGAGGTAAATCCAACCGAGCATGGAAAGCTTTGGGATGGCGTACAAATAGATCAGAACAAAGTGAACTGTGTGGATCCTGCTTATCCAAACATCCCTCTTGGGTCATTTATATGTCCTTATTCTCCCGATCCACGACTGTTTGCGGGCTCTGCTTCTGTTCCTGTAACTCCACAAGCCAAACGGTCAGGAATCACAGTCAATCGACGTACGAATCATTTCTGTCATTTGCCACTCCGCCCATCCGAGTCTGGTGGTTTTTCAGCCTGCCCAAACGGAAGTCATTTCGTTGCTGCGAATCATTCTAATCAAAAAGTGAGTTAAACTAATGCTTTGTGACCCTCAATACATTATTTCTAAACAAAAAGTAAAATCTTTGGTGATGCTTACGGTGAGAGTAAAAGTTTGTGTCACTCATACCCTCTAACAAGTTAAAGTTTTGTACGAAAACCTACAGGGTACAACTCGCATGATTATGTTCAGATCGTAGGTTCATCTCTTCTGGCGAATGAAGCAAATGTATTTCATGTGAGATTTCAAAATATTCATTTTGTTATTGCAATACTTCATCTCAAATGACTATTCTGTATTTTTTATGATTTCCATAGAAAAGAATCGTAATATCAGTAGCACTACATTTCTACCACCTATAACACATTTTCAGTTTGAATTATATCTAAAGGAAAAATAACATGTCCGTTTAAAGCTTTTCGTACTTTCATGAGTTATTGTACAGAATCACCCTGGAAACTTTCTAATCATCAGAGAAACCATATCCTTTTAGTTCCTCTCTTTTTAAGGGTTAAAAGCAGTGGAGGATCTTATAAACATGAAAGCGATGTATCACTTAGAAAATAGTGATAATAATGTAAATGCCAGCAATAATTGACTGGCAGAACAAAAATAACATGTTCACTGAATTAAAACAATTACTCAATATGACAACCGAGTTTTTAAGATAGTTTCGTAATATATGTCTCTTGGCTCTCAACCGACTATTCACTTCGACGGATAATTTAAAGCAATTATTTCCCGTTAGAAATTTCGACAACACAACAAGAAGACGTAGATTATCTGAAACGTGTAATGTTTTGGCGCAACACATTTCGAACATTCTGATCATACACGTACTTGTCATACACAGTCTTCATAGAAGGCAAGAAGGCATGCATCATTACAATACAGATCGGATTGTGTACAGGTCAAGGTCACAAATAATGGGTAGGAGATGACGCAAAGGTGTGGGTAAGAAAGAAAAAACGAAAAAGCAGCCAAGAAGGGGTTGAAAATATTACGAAGTAAATTGATCCTCGGTTGTAAATTGGATTACCAAGGCAGTTTTAAAGTAATAACAAATAACTTTTGGACATATAAGACAGGTTTAATTCTTCTTATGGCCAAAGCTTCAACGAATTTAAGTATGTGGCCCAACCTTGTTTTATATATGGGTTTAAAGGCATTGTTGAAATCAGCCTTATGAATAAATGGGCTTCGCTATAGATGATGTTGGATATCTATTTCCGGGATCACCTGTATCTGGCGATTTTATTGTCGTTGCAACCACTTTGGAATATGTTCTGTAGCCCTAACCTGCAGAGACCGATGGGTCCTACCTATGTACGTGTGTCCACACATACATGTAAATTGTTAAACACAATGGGATGTGACACTATCGTTCGGATACTATGAGGGTTAACAGGACAGCATAGTCCTCGTTTTTCCTATGGAGATAAGTTTAGCTGCATAATAAGTTCTATTAATTGCCGCCTTGAGTCTTTCGTTAGTGACCAGACTTTATTGATCACCCCTGAACGGCAAGGATATACAAACATCCTTTTTGGGAGCTGATTGGATTGGTAGAGCTCTTTGGTTGACAATTCCGTAACACCTAATAAATCTCAGTGGGTAATTGTTATCTAACAATATTTCAGTGAGGTGTTGTCTTTCTTCTTCAATTGTATCCGCAGTACATATACGGGGAATGTGTTTGAACAAACACTTAGCCAGCGCCTTTTTATACTGTAGTGGACAGAAACTATGATAATTTAGATACTGTCCCGTCCATGTATATCGCTAACATATGTTAAAGGGAATAATGATGGTCTGTCATTTTAGATGTACTCATAACCCACCAAGAAGATGGGTCAGTAAAACGATCTGTCTACAGAAAGTTCACGATAGTGTCACATCCCATTGTGTTTAACAATTTACATGTATGTGTGGACACACGTACATAGGTAGGACCCATCGGTCTCTGCAGGTTAGGGCTACAGAACATATTCCAAAGTGGTTGCAACGACAATAAAATCGCCAGATACAGGTGATCCCGGAAATAGATATCCAACATCATCTATAGCGAAGCCCATTTATTCATAAGGCTGATTTCAACAATGCCTTTAAACCCATATATAAAACAAGGTTGGGCCACATACTTAAATTCGTTGAAGCTTTGGCCATAAGAAGAATTAAACCTGTCTTATATGTCCAAAAGTTATTTGTTATTACTTTAAAACTGCCTTGGTAATCCAATTTACAACCGAGGATCAATTTACTTCGTAATATTTTCAACCCCTTCTTGGCTGCTTTTTCGTTTTTTCTTTCTTACCCACACCTTTGCGTCATCTCCTACCCATTATTTGTGACCTTGACCTGTACACAATCCGATCTGTATTGTAATGATGCATGCCTTCTTGCCTTCTATGAAGACTGTGTATAGAAGCACGTGTTCAATTAATGAATATTTCCCTTTCATTGCTGAAGGAAAATATGAAAAGGTGGTTCAAAGCAGCTTTTATTTCAGTTTTTGTGTGCTTCATGTTAGTATGTTTTGATATTGCATCTGTACTCTGCTTGACCACCTTTCTTGTAAACTTAGGTATTTCCCTATCCACCTTACTTACCTACCAATACTGGATCAGTTTGTCCTCATGGATGCCCCTGTGAAATCTCCATAAAACAGCTTTGGTCTGGTGACCCTTACCTCGCTTGTGAAGTTCCAGTCAGGTCTGTTGATCAGTCTGTTTTTGGAGAACGACATGGGTCGTATGCTCCATTTGTGAGTGCACCTGGTAGTCTTCCTGCCCTTCACAATGATAGCATTCATCCGTACTCTGGAATTGAACCAAATGAAGCTCTACATTTCAATCACAATCCTTGGATCTATGCTGCTCAATCTAATCGACATCCCCATTCAGCAGTATGTCATATGTGTTCTCCAACTCAGTCCTGTTTAGTTGAAGTTCCCTATGCTGCTCCAACAAAAAACCTGCCGAAACACCCAACTTACTCTGTGTTAAAATGTCAGGTCCCTTATGCTAATCATGATCCAATAGATTCCATGCAGTATGTCTATCCAAGTTCATCTTTAGCTGCTATTCTTTCACCTATTGTCACTCAGCGTAGGCAACATCCACAGCGCCAAGCACTTCAAGGATCACAGCCAAAAAGCGGTTTGAGGCGACAGCAGTCCCAACCAAAGAACGTAAGATTACCGGACTTAATGCACATTCCACTGATGGAGCGTTCGACAAGTCATGTTCAATTGTCTCATCTTCCAAGCAACTATAGGTTGGCGTCTCCACTGGAAACTTGTTTAAGTAATAACCACCCGATCTCTCGTCAAGGCAATCGAGGCTGTTCGCTTCAGTACATACCTTGCTCTACAAGTGTTCACCCTGGTCACTACGATCTTAACCCAGGTAAATTTTTTGACCTTACTAGTATTAACTTATTTTATTATTTTCTGCTTGTTACTGTCAACTCAATACCTACCGTTGATAATTAAGATCCGAAACTTTGTGAATCCTGAAGTTAAACCTGAATAACTGATTGGTAAACCTAAGGCTATGTGACCGAGAGCCACGTGTATGTATTCAAGAAAGATTTTAAGCTTATTTAGCTCCATAATGATGATTCTTTTCGTATATTTTGTGTATTAAAATGTCTCTTATTCACAAAATGTCATATACTCATTATTTTTTTCCGGATTTTATTTAAATTTTTCTGTTTTATCTCCAGGTTTTTATGTCACATGGGAGTTCAAACTTTTGTGTTTGGTATGTAATTCGTTGTGTGTGTGTGTGTGTAGTTCAAAAATGGTGTCTTTTTTAAAATAATCTGTGTCCGCACTTCTCAATTCCGCAAATCACTTTTCTGTGTCTTAATCTGTTGTACTGAGTCAAATAGTTTTCTTTCGTTCGTGTTTCGTTTGATTAACGGATATTAAATAATCATAATGTACAGAAATCGCTTATTAAATTGAGTTATTTTTATTTACTAACGTGATTACAACTCTTTTGTAGGCTTTGAATATTCAAATGATGTTCACCCAAATCCACTTTCGCATTATCATCGTTACGCTTCAACTGCAAATGAACATTTTCGTCGAGCTGCTAGTGTTGGAGTTTCAGCTTGGAATGCCGATCCCCTCTGGACTACAGCACCTTCACATGAGCGATTATCTCAGACAGACAGATGTAATGAATTCAGCATTTATACACATGAATCCAACCCCACAAATTCTCAACGTAACTTCCTAACAAACCAGTTACAGGCAGAAAGAGAGCATTTTGCACTCCTTCAGACACAATTTTCACGACAGTTATGTGACACCTGGGCGTATTTAAAAGCCACACGTGGTCTGCAAGTCGATAAGTTTTGTGATTTCGGGATGTATATGGTTGGAAATTACAAGTAAATGACATAATTTTAATACTTCTATTTCACAATATATTGTAGTCATACTTTTCATAGTTATGTGTACAGAAGTGTTTTCCAGATAGAGTATTGTTTGAAAAAGGTATTATTGTTTATTTCATAGTACTAATTTTTCTGATACATACTCTATCCACTGTTAAATGAACTGTTTCGTAGTTTTTAGTCCTTTTCGTAAATGGAATTCTAATGATTAGTTTTAACTGCTATAGGTAAGTTTGTGAGTAAGTAATAAGCAATACTGCTAATCGTGTGCCGTTTTTTACTTCCGTTGTCTTGCCTACGATTGGCAGAGAATAAAAGTATGTTTACTTGCTTCTTCCTGTGCTATAAGTTCCATGTGTGCTTGTCTACTTGTCATCAGCTATTTAAGTTAATCCACCTTTTCAGTTTATATGTAGTGAGTTAACTCATTACAAACGTTATTTGTTATACATTGATTGCCAATATTTTAGTAATCCTCCAATTTACGGCTGTGAACTGCGACATGATCCAGCTGGCGCCTCAGATGGTGCATCTACTGGTGGTGGTAACGTATGCAATATGAGCGCTTCTGGTGCATACGACGGACATGATCAACTTCATACTAGTTCTGAACAACATTTATACGAAGCTTGTTCTCAGCTCAACCAGTGTGCTTCATCGGAAAGAATAAATGATTGTGATGACCCCGGTACCAACGATTTGCGATCACCATCTGGCAATGAAATGTATGAAGGTAAGCTTGAAATAAGTGGGTTAACTTTTTTATTGTTGCTATTGTTAGTTATCATAACGTCATTGGTAGTTCAAAGTATGTTTTGTTTAGTTATTCAGGACAAGAATAATATGATGCCTAAAACTGCAAATTCCTTAAGGCACGTAGTAAAATGCTGATAAAATAATGCTTACAGAAAATTAGAAATCAAACTTAATGAATGTAAATGCTGAAGAATAAAGTTACAGTCAGTTTAGAGTTGGTTTTAAGTCAACACTAATATAAACGTAATTCAACACAAATACTTCATGTTTCAGGTGTCGAGCTATTACTAACTATCAATCGACTAAGACGATTACGATTTCTCTTACGTTGTTGCACAATAAAACTGTGTTATCCGTCTATTTGAGGCGAAACCTAAATAAAGAGATCTCGAAGTTCTTGCTGATGAAGTTGTAAAGGTAAGAATTAGTTGGACAAACTTACATAATCCCGCCATTCAAAAACGGGTCTGCTCCTCAGATGGTGAATGTACTTAGAGGTAGTGGTAAAATGTAATATGAACGCTTCTGAAGCGTACGATGATCATATGCCCCTCACATTCCAAAGTGCTTACGGTTGTAGAATTCAAGATTTCTCAGAAACATTCTCATTCAAATGGGAATTTTTGAGCACGGTTAATATTATCTATGAAACAAGAAATGCAATATAAAGACAAGAAATAAACTGAAAGGAAAATGAGCGTTGCAGTATGATTGCCTCTGTTTTGGATTCTGAGTAAATAAGAGTTACTATTTGTTGGTCATTATTGTCACACACTTATTACGCGTCTGTAACACTACTGCACACTTACAGCGAAGTAACATACCGTCCACAGTCGAATGTACTGTATGCTTCCGATTTGCTTTTACCCTTGCACCTTGCTTTACCCTTCCACCTCTTATAGACACGTAGCCAAAAAGAGAACAAATGAAGCTATTAAAAATGTGTATCAAACTTCTAGTTAACGTAGAGTTATATTTTCCATTATTTTTCTCCGCAGATACTAAAGGCCCGATGCAAGGATGGCCACAAACTGTGCCATTACGACATCCACATGTCAATCAAAATATTCACTCACCAACTGCTTACTGAATTTCAAGTTATATTATGCTTTTCTGAGGCGAGATATTTATAGCTATGTTGTTGCATGTGTATGATGTATCTTGTACTGCTTAAAATTTTTTTGTACATAATGCAAATACTAAATATACAAAAGTAACAGTGTGCTTTGTAATTATTACTCAACTCAGTGGGTTACTTGGTCTTAGATATCGATGGTTGTGTATCATTCCCATGAGTCTAAGATACTTCAAATATTTCGTTTCATCGGTAGATTAAACTGTTCACAGTATTAATTTAACTGTGTCAAAAGCAAAACCAAAGTTTACTAGTCGAAACAAGTATGTGGATGAAGCACAAGTAGACAGAGGATGTTAGATCTTTCAGATCAATCATGTCACTTTGTCTCTCCAAAAACAGAATATAGTATGTTATTTATTTCTTTTAACATTTCCTATATCATCAAATTTCGATAAAAATCCTCAGGTTAATACTCTATATACAGTGATAACATATAAATGGGGAGATATGTGACTGATAAATAAACTGCAGTGAAACAATCATGTAAATGCTAATTTTTAATAGTTTGAGTCCAAGTACATAAGAGATTAAAACAAAGGTTATAGGGGAAGATATCTCAGCTGTATCACAATAATAAACAATTGGTTCTCAGGGCGCTTTGTGCAATCTAAGTGCAAAGTATTGTTACAAGGTTGTCAACAGCCTGTATCTGCACCCACACTTGCGGGTGAACTATTTGAAGTTGTCGACAGGTTCTTTACCTAGGTAATCATGTCAGTGCTGTTGGAGGTGCAGCGGATGAATTTTTAACCGTATAGTGAGAGCTACTGTGGCATACGTCAATTTCAGCCATGTCTGGAGACACCAGCCTGGCTATTAAACGTCGGGCATACTATGATTTGATGCGCGCAGTTTCACTCTACACCTGTGAAACCTGATCTCTCCGAGCTGTGGATGTACAGCGGCTCTGCGTATTTGGTCGTCACCGCCTCCGTTGAATTACTTGCGCCCGAGGGCATCATGGCGTCAGTAATTTTGAGGTGCAGCAGCTTGTTTTTGAGCACAGTGTGATCATCATGAAATATAGGCTATGGTGGCTTGGATATGTGTTACGAATGTCATCCAAAAGGGTGCCATACTGCACTCTAGCTCTGCGACTGGGCGAAAAAGCAGAGAGGACATCCGCCTATGACACGGCGCCTTGAGTTGAAGGCTATACGTGTCAGGCTAGCATCTGATGGTAAATCATCGCTCTCTGGATTGGTCCGAAAGATAATTTGAATCGGTGACTTGAGACGTTATCAGATACGATTGAGAATCGCAATTAGTAGCGATCATGCTGTAATTTTCTTTTTTTCTTCCCGAAAGTAACATGAAATAATGAATGCGAATGATCTTGACAAGTATGCTCACTCGCTTTCTGGATAAACTCATTCATTCATTCTGTCTGTATTTTCCCCATATAGTATTGTTTTATTATTTTTGTGTGGTGCATCTCTTGACGCCTGTAATCGCTTACAAGAAGGGAGACAAGTCTTCCTGTGATAGTCATAGAGGGATTAGTTTGACTAATATAGTATCTAAAGTTATAGGCTCAATAATCACGCGTAGGATAAGTAGCGCACAGGGAGAACAAACCCGAAAAAACCAGGCAGACTTAAGATCAGGAAAAGGGTATATTGATCATACCTTCACCCTTCGACAGATTTTGAAACACAGGTATATTTACCGGCATCTAACAATTGCTATATCTCTTGATCTGAACGAGGGAGTCGACTGAGTGGTACTGTGAAAATGTCTGGCCGTGAAGGGATTGCTGAGAAGGTGCATCGCACTAACCAAAGTACTCTACCCGAACTCACGGAGAGTTATCATCTGAAATGATGACAATGAGTGGTGTCCTTCACGAATGCTCACTGTTCCAATTTTGGTTCGATTTCATCATGGAGACTGATAAAAGGCGAAGTCTCCTCAACACCTAGAGCTGGAATCTTCGAATGTTTGGGAAGAGACTCGCTTTTGTCAAATGATAGATGATGCTGCAGGACTGAACTACATCCGTTTGTAGTTCAAAGATTTGGAGCGAGGTGGTTGAGCATGTTGGCCACCTCACCTATTTGAGAAGTTGCATCAGCCGCAGCGGGTTGATTGCTGTCGAAATCTCAGCATGCATTCAAAAGGCTAGTGTGGCATCAATTCTCTAGCGTAGATTTGATGTCCAACCATTGATAAAAGCACGTGTGTACTGCGCACCAGTTCGCTCTGTCATCCATTATGGCGACGAGACATGGCTATAGAGAGTGGAGAATATGAAACGGCTAGCTGTCTTTAATCGTAAGTGTCTGTGTTCTGTCTCCAGTGTTAGGTGGTAAAGTATGGTGAATAATATTGAAGTTAGGCGTCCAGTTATCCACCAAAAGTATGCAGTGCGTGGGAGTTCTTTATGTTTGTGCGATGTTTTGTTCGCAGATGTTTTCATCCCATCTCTCAGATTACAAGTTATCATATAGTCAGTGATACTGAAGTTAAGCATAGAGTGTTAGGTAACAAGAACCAGTCTGTCGACGGGGTTGTGGAGCTACATCACCTGAGATGACTACAATAAGAGTCACGTATGTCTGGCCTTCGCCTCCCTCGTTGAGAAATGTCAGATAACATAGGATGAAATAGAGAAAGAGCTATTGGTGGTCAAAAAACCACTTGGAACAATGAAATATTTGATAGTTAGTTTGAGACAGGTAGTGAGTTGTCTTCGCGATGCTAAGAACCCATGGTGATATGGGTCAAAATCGTTTTCTGTGACGCAGATGCATTCACCCTTTGTGATCTCCTATTGTTCATCCATGCTACTAGTCTTTCTCCTACACATTTCCCCTATCATCGTCAATTTTAATATTTTTCCATTGATTCCCAGACTACCTAACTTTACTAGAAGAACTGAATGAGAAACCCTGTCAAACGCCTTGCTAAGGTCGATGAATATGGCATCCACCGGCATATTAGCATCAGCTGAGCTTGACCAACTTTCTCTGGCCAAAAGAAGGTTGGTCAAGCAAGAATGACCTGCTCTAAAACCAGGCTGTTCCACAGCGAAAAGTTTGTTCCCTTCAATGAACTGAATGATAGCATCACGAATTATTCTTCCTAGTAGTTTAACAACAATACTGGTCAAACTAACAGGACGATAGTTCTGAACTAAGTTCCTAGATCCGGTTTTGAAGACCGGACTAATGATGGCATCTTTCCAGTCTCTTGGACATTTAGACTGGTCCAGAGACATATTGAAGATTACCGACAAGGGCTCGGCTATGTTTTCAGCCAATGCTTTTAATATACGTGGGTGGAGTTCATCAGGGCCACTGGACTTCACAGGATTGAGCCTTAGAAGCCACTTTAGGACAGTGTCCTTTCCAATGTATAAGGGTGCCATTTTCAAGTTACCTTCTGGAAAAGTTACAAAGCTGGTATCAATATTATCAGAGAATACTTGACTGAAGTGCTTGAAAAAAGCCTCAGCCTTAGTCAAGTTATCCTCAGCCAGGTTTGTCTGGTCATCTTCAAGCATAAGAGGTGGGATAGCATCACTCTTACGTGTTCTTCTCTTGATATATGAGAAGAGTCTTTTCGGGCAGCCTGGTGAACTTTTAACTAACTGGGTTTCGTAAGCTATCCTTGACTGGTGAATCAAAGTTTTACACTGGTTTCTGGTTTCACAGTATTTCAGCCGGAACTGCTGTAGCCCAGTAGAAACAAAGAGATTCCAGAACCTTTTTCTCCGTCTTAGGAGTGTTATAGCTTGTCTATTTATCCATGGTGGCCGATTTGTTGGTCTTTTAGGAACCCTCCAGGGAATAAAATCAGTCGTAACCCTCTCAAGTGTATTCTTAAATCTATCCCATTCATCTTCAATGGATGAGACAATATTGACTGACCAGTCGGCAGTTGAAGCAGGCTTCTTTATAGCGACTATGTCAGCATGCCAAACACTAGGTCGGGATTTGGGTTGAAAACTGACTAAATTGCCAGCCCTTAAGTTAAAATCTAACACCCCATGATCACTGTTTGCTAGAGGTGGGTGAATAACTAGACCATCCACGTCGTCGTTGTCAAGAGTAAGCACTAAGTCCAGCAAGGAAGATCCCTGGGTAGAATCGAATCTTGTACTATCTAAGACATGTTGTGTCAGGGCATTTTCTATGGTAGTCAAGAGTAACCGGCTGTCAAACTTATTAGTGGATACTTGAGATGTGACAGCTACCCAGTCTATATGAGGTGAATTGAAATCATCTAGAATAAGCCAGCTAAAAATACAGGTTTTCAAAATTCTGGTGACCTGTCTTCCCCAAATTGCTGCAGCAACCAGTGTTCGGTGTTAATGAATAAAATCTTAGCGGTAGTAGGTTCGTCTAGTACATTGATCAAGTTTCCTTCTTGCATGTCATCTCTTTCAGATGACATCCTTTAAAACTGGTTGGACAGCTTTACTGGCACCTATTTTTTTAGTGTACTTGTTGATAAAACTCTCAGGGTACTCATTTTTACATAAAATGTCCTTCAGGGTCTTTACTCTATGCTCCACCGTACTGTCAGGACAGATTTCTCGTGCTTTGTTGAGCAATCTTTTACCCAAGTTCCTCTTTTAATGGATAGGAACTGAGCCCTTGGTGTGTATACCATCTCACCGACCAGAACTTTGTACATATGGACCTCTGGTTTGTGTCATCTGTCCTTTCTATCAGGGAAACAACAACCAGGAATACAACACTATCGTTTTCCTCGTATCCCATTGTGAAGTTAACATAGGGATAGCACGAAATGAGTCACATCACTTTAAGTTCTGTCTGGGACTTTCTTCCACACAGAATAAGCCTATTACCTAATTAGATATATTCCCGTGTTGTATGTACCACTGCAAAGGCTTGACAAGAAGTCTGCAAAAAGCAACCTTACGAGCTATCCCTACCAAAACCATTAGCTTGACGGAATACCCGGTCATCAGAGGAAACTACACA